AAAATCCCCGCTTTGGCTCCCCTACTATTAGTTCTATTGAGACATCAGTGTCATATACTATGACACGATAATATTGAAGGAACTGTTATATTCTACAAAACGGATCGTCTTCATGCACCATAATAATATTTTCAGTCTCAATTTACATGCATCTGGAGGCGTTTACCGTTGTTTAGGGTCAGAGGTCTAGTGCGAGCCAATAAATATGCTTTTGATGGAAATAACAGTCCTCTGGCGAAAGTTGATAATACAGATGTCCTCAAATGGAAAAGATACTTATCTAGATATTACGTTAAAATATAACATTGTCGAATAATGTACTACATTGAACAAATAGTTTTGCATTTATTTATTAACTAATTTAGCACATACACGTTATAAAAAAATAAGAAAATCATGAACAAGACATCTGTACCATTATCTGGAGGGCTCTGCTTATTTCATTTTTAAACATATTGCAGCAGGCACTCAGTGTGTACCTTCTAAATATTAAATAAAATAATTTTTTGTTTAGTTTTTTTAGTTAGTTTAATCCTTCCTTTAGTCCTTTTGACAATATCGCACGAATAGTTAAAATAGCCAATATAGCAGACGATAGTGCTAAAATTAACAGAAGTGGGTATATAATAATAATAACATTTATTCCAGACTTTAGACTTTTTATAAAGTGATCTTTGACAGAAACTTAAAAAGTCAATTTTCAGCCAATAGACACTTGAATACTAATTAAAAATATAGTGAATAAAATATAAAAGGCTTCCAGGAAAATACTTAGTTTCATTGTGCTTTGGAAACTTCTCAGATAACCTATCTGACACCAACCATGTCATTGCAAACATGAATACAATATTTAGAATCAATTGTGTTACTATAGTTTAAGGGTATAGCCTCAAAGTAAGCGTTTTTTTTATGACGCGCCTTTTCTTTGGATTTTCTACCGATTCGCATTTTCTATTGTTTCATGTTAAATTTCGTTTATTTCTATACAAACAAACGATTGGGACTACCAGAGCGGAAAATTGGCAAGTGCAAACTTTAGGTAGATGTTTTCTTTCAGCACATCAATTTTAATCGTTACTTTATGATGGTAATTAGCAGGAGCTTAGCCTTTACCTAATGTGATTTAGGTTATGATACAATTTTAAAAAGTTCAAATAACTCGATTTTAAATGTGTGGGTATGCAACTACAGTTTTTTGTAAATCCTTCAGGTATCTAACACATGTTAGGTTCCTGAAGTATTTTCAAAAAACTAAAGTTAACTCGGACGACCGCTAGTTTTCTATGTAATAAAAAAGAAGATAAGATCAAACTATAATTTTCGCATAACTATGCTTAAAATCTAAACTAACTATTAGAGTTATAATTGTATTTTTTTAAAGCATGTAACTGCTTGATGTTTAAATCTAAAGAAAATATAACTAGAAAAAAATCCACACGGACCAGGCAGCAGACGGGACTCGAACCCGCACCCTTCGCAATCCGGGCGAATGCACTGACCTAGATTACATTTTTTCTAGTTATATTTTCTTTAGATTTAAACATCAAGCAGTTACATGCTTTAAAAAAATACAATTATAACTATAATTGCTATTTCTTCTTTCAAATGTTTAAATCTTGTAAAAGTATTCATTTGACATTGTGGGTTACCTGTAATGCGAAGGGATGGCGCTGCCTTGCAGCTTAAGAATGGCTAGAGGAATTTCGACGCGGTCCGTGAGGGCCGCGGTAGCATAATTGGTCAGTGCATTCGCCCGGATTGCGAAGGGTGCGGGTTCGAGTCCCGTCTGCTGCCTGGTCCGCGTGGATTTTTTTCTAGTTATATTTTCTTTAGATTTTAACTATTAGAGATTTCCTATTAAGTGAAATCATCCTTATTACAGGCGTTTTGTCCGCTTCTTGTTGTTACTCAGCCCACACAGGTTTGAGTGAGAGCGGCATGACAGGACTTGTATTACACGTTTGTCTGAAACTCTAGGGATGTTTGTTGAGACAGGTATAAATGATGAAAAGGCCAAGAGCCATAGGGTCCGCTTGTGCGTCTTTTGTTCACAAACACTTCATGAAGTCTGTGAAACTTAAAATATTATAATATATCATTCTTGTACCGCGCAATCAGTAGTATCCTTAACACAAAAAAATTGCCGGGAGTTCAACAAAGCATAAATTTTAACTGTGCCTTATTTAAAGTCGCCTATAAGCCAATAAGGCTAATACCAACGTTAGACAGCATAAATTGTCTTGCTTTATCATCGCTCGGTATAGCTTGCCTAATTTGCCGAATAAATGGGAAGCGCTAACGTGTAAAGACCTCATTTGGTGTCGCTTGTCGGCACTCGTTGTTGCTCGCCAAAATTTGTCTGACTAACCTTTGGGCAGCTGCACAAAACAAGTCTATGTAATATTGGCCACTTGCATTGACCTTCTTCTTCTTCTAGGCGGTAGCACTTGCCTTTTAATCAGCTTACCTACGCTCGCGTTGGATTTAGCTTGACCAGTGTTGCCACGTCTAATTTTTAAAAATCGGGAGATCTAAGATGACTTCTGCTGGAAAATAGTCAACTTCTGCTTTTGTACACCATCCGTATCTTATCTTTACAACTACTTATCCTTCATAATTACGTTCCATTCATATGCTGCTAACTATTCTGGGAAACGTCTTTGTCTTCTAAATCATCATTTTCAAAGTTAACAAGCTTTTTACTAATATTGTATTTATATAAGAGCAATAAAAGACCAAGCTTGGATAAATTATTCCTCTATTGTCTCTGTTCATTGAATGACAAATTGCATTTGAGTGATATGAACAATAAATGACGTAACAAGTCGTAAGTTTATTCCTTGTTTATTAATAATGGGGTTAGAAATTACACAGTTATAATAATAGGGAAATTAGGACGTGACCCATCACGCGGGCCCAGTGTGTATTGCAGAAACTATAGTCATATTGAATAAAACACTCTTCAATGAGGTCACGGAGCCTGAAAAGACGTTAAGTATCATCATGATCAGCATATTATTGACCTTCCCTGTGGATGGAATAGAGAGATTGGGCCATGACCCACCGCGCGGGCCCAGTGTGTATTGGTGGGTGCTAACGACTGCAGATGCAGCCGGGACCAACGGCTAGTAAATTGCGGATTGTAATTGTTAAAACATATGCTATCAAAACATTACTTGTAAAAATCAAGTCTCGCAAACTCTTTCTTCCACTGTAAAAAGTCGTGAGATCCATGTAATACCAAGTCGGTGAACTTATTCATTCCCCACATAAGGGACCTTTTGTCTTAAGTTATTACATAATTAGCTAGCCTAACAATATCTCATAGTGACCGTATTAATATTTAAAATCTTTAAGTTTTAAATTAATAGATTGACTTGGCCATTTCATCCACAACAAAGTTATATGGGGTGAAAAATGGCCTGACTTGTTTTAAAGAAAAGGATGATACGTACGGCCGTGCCGCTTTTTCGCTCGACTTAGGGTGGTCAGATTTTGATTTTGATTTTGTGAGAGGAAAATAAATCATTCATTCATTGGTGTCGAATCTGGCATGATTCTCTAAACTTAAAACTAAATTTAACATTAGTCTCTCTTTTTCACTCTGTATAGAGAATGACAAGGATACACTTGTCAAATTTAAATTTAGGTTTAGAGAATCATGCAAGAATCGAGTCCATTGTAGAGGTTTTATACAAAAGTCACTATTTTGAAGAAAAAAGTCTTCACACTAAGGATATCAAAAACCTAATATCGTTGCTTTACTACTGTGAGTAAAACAGCAATAACTATTTATTATTCGATTGACCAGTCTATAAGTAAAAGTTGTTTGTTTTCATGAGTACATTAACCTCCCTTGCTATTTATATAATTCGACAATATTATTTGCGTAGCCAACGTACGACGGGGTCATCAATAACGAATGCTTCGTTGCTTAATAGTTTTCTTCGCTAAAGTATTTGCGAAATTATCAATATTCAGATGAAATGATGAGATAAAAAATCTTGATGCTTAAATCAACATATATTATTATCTCATCATTTGATAATAATATGTTGATTTAAGCATCAAGATTTTTTTATCTAAATATGTCCAATCCGTCACCTTGGCTGAGTTGAATATTTTCTATTAAATATTTCCTTTAGACAATAAACATTACGTTGTTAGTCTTAAAGGTTTTGTAAGATTACTGGAGCCCCTATATTTCCTCCCAAATTAAAGCGATATCTGTCCGGGGAAGCAGCTTCCACCGTACAAAAGACTATCGTGATATAATTAAATATTTGTCATCGTGCAAGAAAAGTTTCAGAGCTCCATAGGGTAGGGGGTTCAAGTCAGTAAGGTGAAATTACAAGATGATTTTATTGTAAAATGTCAGCTATATTCGCTACTGTACTTCTTACACTTTACATTTAAACTTAGGTACAGTGCTGTGGGAGTAAGCACCACTGGTTCAACCTCTCTTCTTCTCCCAGTAATTATGCCTTGTTCACACCATCATTTGTTTTTTTTTCCCAAATCCTAGGTCCTTGAACAAGGCACAAAGCCCTTTCATAGCATAAACAGAGTTAAAAATAATAGACAAGCCCTCACCGGACAAACCTGGGCAAGAAATTTTGGACACAAACACCGGATATTGGCCAAATCCCGAGGGATTCGTCACTGTAGAAATCTAATTAATATCACATGATTGTCATTTTACTTGTAGATGTCAAATATTCTATTGCTATTATCAAAGATCACACATTCCATTTCGGAATAAAACATCAAATCACACTGCTACATGTTTTTGTTACTGTAACTAATCTAAAAAAACTGCTGAACAGAATTAGCTTTTACAAGGTTCAAATTCGCAATCATAAGACTTAACCATTAGACTAATATGCCGTAGGCCATAGAAGAGAATTAGGCAACCTTGACACACACCATCGCCTCCCCTTTCTACCAATGCCGGCTGTAGCGCACCCCACCGATGCTCGGAAGCTGCACCGGCGACGCGCAGTCACCGTTCGCAGCGCGCGCAGAGAGCGCATCTTCACGTGTGCCTTGCGAATCGCATCGGTATTAAACCTAACTTTACCAACTTTTTAGAGACCGACCGAACAGTTTTGATACTCCAACGTTCTGCATTTCCATTACTATAACCTTTTTTGTATCTCTGCTTTTTTCAGTATTTTTTATGATACCTAATTTATTAAAACAAGAGTGTGTGCTTCGTTAGTGGATTTTAGGAAAATATACACGACCCCTGACCGAGATTTTGCATAACCTCCGCTCTTATCGCGCTCGCCACAAAACAATAGATTAGTTGTAATTTTTTTCACATACAACACTAGTTTTACTAACATTGTTTTGTCAAAAAATCTAGACAATGTCCGAATGTTAGGAGCTGTTCTTTAATTATGTGCAATTTTTGCGTAACGCCAGCGGCTTAGCCGTGAGAACACATTGTATGTTGTGTGTCAGGAGGCATAGCTTTTCTTGTATTAGTGTTATGGATGGATTATACAATGCAGGAACTTGGGATCATGTTTGACATGTAGTCGTTAGCATGTCGCGGTGAAACGAAGCGTTGTGATTTTTGTTGCATATTTGTAGCACACTGTGTGCATTTTTGCAAGTTGATTAACTAGTTTCATTTTTTAGTATCGTTCCATATTTAAATGCGCATCAAGTGAGGTCTCGCAATAGTTTTGGAAGTGCACAGCGTTGCGGTTATTGCCAAATTCACGTGTGACAAGTGACAACACATTTTGCAGGTGTTTGTGAAAATAATCGGTGGGAAAACACGCCAGTTGGTGAGTTGATGCAATAGCAGACTAATTATTTATTTTATTCTTACCTTATGAATTGTTTTTGCCTATTGTTGCGTAGAGGTCGCAGCGTTAATTGATGTAATTATGTAATGCATCTGATCATCTCGGGCGCGCTCTTATCTCGACCCGGAATTTTGTTAGAAAATGTATTTTGACAATTACTGTCTCGTCTCGCCCTTGCGTTTCTGGCACGCGTCAGATAATCTATGTCCGATTTTTTGGAATATCTGTGTAAATTTGATATTACCGGTTTTACGGATACAATGCCAATCAATATAGCATTCAGATATACAATTACTTATTTTTTTCTTCAATCATTAAGTCGTCTGGTGCCACTATTGTTATTAAGCAATAAGAATGATGTCAGTAAAAAGATTAATTTGGTAAGTAAAGAATGTTTGTTTGAAGATCGTCAGTTTTTATTGTGTTCGTAACTTTTTTTTTTATAAATATAAAGTTAAATCTTGTTAACACACGCCCAATTTGAATATTGCATTATGCATGAACACTAAAACAATAGCATTTTTTTATAATCTCATCTGGTCACAAAATGCTCAGCAAAATGAGTCTTCAAATACTGACAGTTTGACCTGCTCTCACCTTTTCGTGTCAAACAGATTGTTATCTGTGAGTATGACATGCAGAAATATAACTGATGGCCTAATTACGGATTGAATATTAGATTTTCTGACAGTAAAGTAGGATTTTTTTGCTTTGCAAGTAATAATGTAACATAAAATTTTGGAAGTGTATCATACATTTATTTGACTTTCATCAAATAAATGTATGATACACTTTCAAGTCCTTTAAGAGAGGTAGGGCATAGTGGTTTTTCCGCTCAAATTGGAGCGCTCGTTTGGGGAAGTAACCTCCACCTTACAGAAGATCACAGCAAAATAACACTACCTTTTGGTGGTTATGTGTATCTGTCGGTGAGTAAGGTTCCAGGGCTCCACGGGGTAGGGGATTGGGTCAGGGAAGGCAACGGTGCGAGGGATATTTTCGGTATCGCAGGCGTTTATAGGCTATGGTGGCCGCTTAGCTATGGCGGGCCATGGGCTTGTTGCCAAGTTTTAAGGTAATAAAAAGTGCCAGAACTCCTCCGATGCACCATAGATCGAAGTAGCGCTATTCGCTGTCTGGGTGAATGTAATGATCATTGTGCTGTCATCATCAGCCTATTAATGTCCCCACTGCTGGGGCACAGGTCTTCCCTATGGATTGGGCTAGGATAGATTGGACTAAGATCCACCACGCGGACACAGTGCGGATTGGCGGGTGCTAACGACTGAAGATGCAGCCGGGACCAACGGCTTAACCTGCCTTCCGAAGCGCGGAGGAACTCGAGATAGAAGATTTTTGGTCACCCATCCAATGACCGACCACTGCGAAAGTTGATTAACTTCAACGATGGCAAGCGAACGCGCTAACCACCTGCGCCATCGAGTTCCTCATTGTGCTGTAGCTATTGATGTTTCATAACTAGATCTTAACTACGGCAATTCCTTATACCTATACAGATTTATATTTAACAAAATATTAAATTTTGTAAGAAATAAATAATAATATTCTATTTTTTTTAGACTTGCATATGATAGACTAGTAATTGTCGCCAATAAGAGATCAACAATATAATGCCTCGTAAAGCTTATGTATATTAAGTATATAATAGGTATTTCATTTATTGTTTTAAAAATCTGATAACAGTTCGAGTTATAAAAACTAAACTTTAATAAGCTTACGATGAAAAACGTTACGTTAAAGGCCCACAAAATATAGCCAGGCGTTAAACACGATTTAAAAGAAAAAAATATAGAGAAGTTAGATATTTTGTATAAATATACTTTTCTTCTTACAAAATATCTAAAAAAACTAGTTTTTGCTAGCTATCGCTAACCGGGACTTTTAACCGAGAACGACAATTTGAATCGAAATCTTTCTAGTTTTTTCTTTAATACGATAGTAACAGTTTGATGCATTACTAAAAACAAATTAATCGTATTATAATGGTTTAAATTGTCTTTGAATTTGTCGTTGTGCGATTAAGTTTTAAAATTTTCTTTTGTTTTAAAACATCTAGCAGTTAAGGCATAAAATAAAAATGTGTACTAAGTATTCATTAAAAGTAAGTAAGTATATAATATGTATATTTAAAAACAATCAGACCGTTTGATGCGAAACTAAAAGTAAATTAATCATACCATTACGGCTTGAGTTATCTTTAAATAAGTCGTGTTACGAATAAATACTTCTACATCATGTTAGTTTATAGAATAGAATAGATTAGAATATAGTTTATTAACCCTCATATTAAAGATATTACACATTTACATATACAAATTCAAAAAACACAGAGCTAACCAGGACTCTGCCTCAGCATTAGCTGATGCGACATTGCATCGCACCAGCGCTGTTATTCTGGCAGAGCCTGTTAGTGACACAAAAAAAGACATGTTAGTTATTATTTTTTTATTACTTGAAAGGATGTATGGACTAAGCATCCTTTGCTTTCAAGTAACAAAAAATTAAAATAAATAAAAGTCAATCAAAACAGCAAAAAACATATATTAATAAATCAGCAAGCAAAGCAATGCAAAAATAAAAACGAAGCAATTCATTTAATTTCAGCCTAAAAATTCATTTAAATTAAAAATTTACATGATTGATAACGCAACCGCCACCCAAAAATAGCAGTTACTCATAATAGCTATAAGCATAAGATAGCGCCTAGAACCTTAGAAAATACAAAAACCAACGCTAACATCTCGTTACGAAGTTTGTAAATAGGTACCTAGTTGAATGTAATCCGGTACAATTCCACTTGTTTAAATCATACCCCAGTTATGGCGCATCAATCTCTCCGGCGGGCCTTCTGCGGCTATCTCAGATATAATTGGCATGTTCCGTTCGTGATGTATGGAACTTTGGTACTCACTAGAGTGCAACTACTTTTAAAACGATCTACTTACTTAGATAATTCTTAAAACCGTCTTAGGGCCTTTGAACGTGGTATTGTGGTTAGATTGTTTGTGTGAATGTTAAATCACGCAGATATGGAAATAAACAGTTTTATTGGAACCACTTTTGCCGAGTTATGATGAGTGTTTTTATTACTTTCATATTGAAATGAAATAAAATTAAGCTTTATTCAAATTGTCATCATCAGCCTATTAATGTCCCCACTGCCGGGCACAGGCTTTGAGTTCTTCTGTCAAAGAGAATTCTTCTTCAGTTAAATTTTTATTATGAAAAGTCACACACTTCTCCACGAGTCAAATAAGCTTTAAAGTACCCAATTTCTGGCATGAATTTATATTATGTGATGTTAATTATTAACACTTAATTATTATGTGATGATTAATGATAGACATTATAATAATTATGATTATTCTCGATGTGCTGAGGGCCACTTGCATGAAAATTCAAATTTATAGGTTTATCATGTTAAAACATCATTTCATCTTAATATGATTAGCTTATTATTATTTAAAACATTAAACTGTTACATTTATTAATTGTTCAATAAAATACTAGCCGCTCGGTTAGCCGAAAGCGCATGTGCGAATCTTATCTAGTACCTCTCTCGATGATAATTTTCTCTAATAAAGTCTTACGCAATTAGCTTTTAAACCTATTAAAATAATTTTAGTGCAAGTAGTAAGCCTACTTGCACTTAAGTTATTCTGAGGGCTGATTTCTGGAACACTGTATAAAATTAATTCTATTTATTTATTATTATGACATTTCAATGTCCTTTCCAAAACAAAACCTAATTTGACAATGAAGCTAATTCAAACAAAAAAAATATACTATATAATATATATATAGACATGCAACAATTGTATTCATATATTTTTTTTATAACACCAATTAGCCTAGCCCCAAAGTATCACTGTAAGGCTTGTGTTATGGGATACTAGGGTAACGGATAGAATACATATACAGTACATATATAAGTATATTTTAGCGACATAAGTGTAGAGTCTGTGCGGAAAGAGAATGGGCGTGGCGGAAAACGGAACTTACATTAAGATTTTTATTTGGCAATCAAACCCAGCAATCTGTAAAACGTCAAAGTTTTGTATTGATACGGATTTGTTTGTTGTTGTGATTTCTTTCGGTTTTTTGTATTTAATCATGTCTAAAAGGGGTAAAACCTTACAAATACGGTAGAAAAGCACTACAGCGCCCTCCAATCCAAATCCCATTCTCTTTCCGCACAGACTCTATTAATTTATTGAACAGTTAAGTTTTATCCGAGTTTTGAAAAATCGGCCCTTAGATAAAGAATTTATGACACTTGAACAGTGACATAAGTGTATGAAGTATTACGTGAATAGTTGAGGTATCTGTATGAGGTATTCGACTTAAACACTCATGTGCGTTATGCCACAGTTTTATTATAATAATATGCGATGAAAGTGAACGTCACATGAAACACAAGTTATTGTTTGCGAGTTTGATGGATGCGAGTGTGGTCGTGCCAATCGCGTGTTCCTCCATTCCTTATTTGCCAGACGGAAATAGTGAATGCGAAATGTTGAACGTGTAGGGTATTGTAAGCACAGACACGAAGGAAAAAAATATAACACAACATTGTGTAACGGAGCAATATTGTCCCTACGAAGTCCGTTTAATGTGAAAAAGCTACGATGTTTCCGTAAAGGTGTTGGAATTTTAATTTTGCTGTATTAGTTTAGATTCAGGTAGCAGAAGCTCAATAAGGGTTTAGTAAAAGCATTAGTGTTTAACAACACGAGGTAGTTGACGGCACAGTGATTAGTGCGTTTATATAGTTAAGTATCTTTCGCAAAATATAGTCACAAGATGGGTGATCAATTTTCTGCCCGGCCCTGAAACGCCTTGGAACCTTATCAACAGGAACATCATCGTCATCATCATCAGCCTATTAATGTCCCCACTGCTGGGGCACAGGCCTTCTCTATGGATGGAATAGGGAGTTTGGGCCATGACCCACCACG